AGCCCTGAGGAACTTGACTATTGCCTCTATAGGGATGAGGGAGAGGGGTGAAGGAGGTCACCCTTCCTGAGCCCTGAGGAACTTGACTATTGCCTTTGCCTCTCCCGCTTTTACGCTTCTGCCCTCTTTGCCCCTGGGTTCAGCAGTGGGCTGTCCGAAACAGCAGCTATTTGGAAATTTGACAACACAGAAATGGAAATCCATGACAACCACTTAGCATAGGGGCTGATTTTGTGCTTCTGCTGACCATAGCAAGTTTCCTGATGTGATTCTGATGCTAATGCATGTTCAGCACATATAGAAAGAGACAGGAGTATGCTAGGAAATCTGCTAGTGAGGCAGAAAAATGAAGAGAAATTAAGGGGCCAACCGTATCATGCCTCTCCTTATCTCAAGGTGAGGCAGGGCTGCCTCTGTCAAGGGAGATCACAGAGAGGAATACATTTGTCTTTTGATCTCGGAGAACAAAACCGATGTTTCTGTTCTTCTACGGCTTCTGGCATGATAAGGAGAAGAATCCATCTGTGTGTTGGGGGGTGGGATGGGCCCTGAATAGCTGATGTCCTTTTATTTCTTGCCTTCCAATTGGGAACAGTAATTTCTTCTTGGTTTGTTATTTTTCTGATTTTGATTAAATTCTCATATAAGATAATGTATGTGGAAAGTGGGCGCTCAATATATATTTATTGAAGTGGGATGCATTCCTTCTTAATGAATAATTAAATATCATATCGTATTTCCAAAGTTATCTTTTACAATTGAGGAAAGTGAATAAAAGATTATGACTAGTACAAGGCAGTCTTACTACTTTTTTCCTAAAGGTGACCATGATGGTCAGAGAAAGTTCTATGATATAATAATGCCAGAGGTCACCATCTCTATTTACTGGGCTATGTCTGCCCAGATTCTGCATTGACAGCAATTTTTTGACTGAGTCTATTCTTATGCATTGAAAAGGGCTTTGAGATGAAAAGCTCTGTCACTCAGCAGGCTAGGAGAGCAGGTGAATTGGGGCAATTTGAGGAAAGGAGAGGAAAATTATTGTCTCGTCCTTCACAAAATGAGAGATAAGAACTTTCCACATAGGGATAATGGAAAAACTAAATTCAAGGATGGAAAAAGCCAAATAATGTTCTTTATTTATTCTTTCATTTATTATTTTGTTTTTTCATTCATTCATTCACTCCTTCTTCCAAGAAGTATTTATTAAATGCTCTTTTCGTGTTAGATATTGTGTGAGAGATGCAGAGAAAAATAAGACATGGGTGTTGCTTATTAAAGGAGCTCACATCCTGGTAGAGAAGACAGACATATTAAGAAATAATGACACAATACTGTATTGTATGTATGGTGCATAGAGGCAGCTACAAAGTACACAGTAGAAGATAACAGAAAATGATGCTTCCTCTGCCTATGGGTTAAGGGTAGAGAGCCCTCAGGAAAGACATGACAGAGACCGTGATATGTGACCTGGGTCTTGAAGAATGGGTAAGAATGTGCATTAAAAAACTTAAAACTGTTTGTATCCTGTGAATCAGCAATTTTGTTTCTTGGATGCTTAGGATAAATATCTGAAGAAATAACCAGTCATATACATGAGTGTTATTACAACAATATATAAGAACAAAAATGCTATTTTCAATGATATAACATTGAGTAAATAAATTATAGTGCACCTATGCTGTGGAATATTAACGTAGCTGTTATTTTATTTTTTTTTATTTTTATTTTATTTTTTTTTTAAATTTTTTGTTTATTGCAGTAACATTGGTTTACAACATTGTAAAAATTTAAGGTGTAGTAAGAAACAATGAAATCCAGCCATTTGTGATAACGTAGCTGTTAAAAATCATGTTGTAGAATAAGATAGGAGAAACCGTTCATTATATTATTTAGTGAAAAAAATACTTATAAATTTTTACATTTTATTTCCAAGTGTGTGTATATTTGTGGATGTATATAAATATACACATAATGAGAAGAAAAATATATCTGAAATGCTATCTCTGTTTTTCTTTGTTTTTATTCCCAGATTCAATATAATTGACATATAACATTGTGTAAGTTTAAGGTGTATCATGTGTTGATTTGCTATACTTATATATTGCAAAATGAATACCATAGTACTGTTAACACCTCCATCCCCTCAGATAATTATATTTCTTCTTTGTGGTGAGAACATTTAATATTTACTTTCTTAGCAACTCTCAAGTATATAATACAGTACTGTTAACTGTAATCACCATTAGATCCCCAGAAATTATTTATCTCCTAACTGGAAGTTTGTACCCTTTGACCAATGTCTCCCCATTTCCTCCACCCTCCAGCCCCTGGCAACCACCATTCTGCTCTCTGTTTCTATGAGTTCGGCTTTTTTATATTCCACATGTAAGTGAAATCATACGGTATTTGTCTTTGTCTGACTTCACTTAACATAATGCCCTCAAGGTCCATCCATACTGTAAGATGCAAATGGCAAGATTTCCTTTTTTCTCATGGCCGAATAATATTTCATTGTATTTCTACCACATCTTTTTTATCCGTTCATCCATAGATGAACACTTAGGTTGTTTCCATATCTTGGCTGTTATGAATAATGCCACAATGAACGTGGAAGTCCAGATATCTCTTCAAGATCTTGATTTCATTTTCTTCAGGTACATATTCAGAAGTAGGGTTGCTGGATCATATCGTAGTTCTGTTTTAATTTTTTGAAGAACTTCCATACTGTTTTCCTTAGTGGCTGTACCGATTTACATTCCCGCCAACAGTGCACAAGTGTTCCTTATTCTCCACCTCCTAATCAATCTCTTTTTGATGATAGCCATTCTAACAGATGTGAGGTGATATCTCATGGTAGTTTTGATTTGCGTTTCCCTGATGATTAGTGATGTTGAGCATCTTATCATGTGTCTGTTGGCCATCTGTATGTTTTCTATGGAGAAATGTCCATTCAGTTCCTCTGCCCATTGTCTAAACAGATAGTTTATTTGCTGTTGAGTTGTATGAGTTCCTTGTTTGTTTTTGTATTAACGCTTTATTAGATCTATGGTTTGCAAATATTTTTCCTATTCCATAGGTTGCCGTTCCGTTTTGTTGGTTGTTTCTTTGGCTGTGCAGAAGCGTTTTAGTTTGATGTCGTCTCACTCATTCACTTTTGCTGATGTGCTTGGGCTTTGGTGTTATATGCAAAAAATTATTTCTAAGACCAACGTCAAGAAGCTTTTCCCCTATGTTTTCTTCTAGGAGTTTTATGGTTTCAGGTCTTATATTTAAGTCTTTAATCCATTTTGAGTTAATTTTTGTGAGTGTTGTAAGATAGGGGTCCAATTTTATTCTTCTGCATGTGATTATCCAGTTTTCCCAGCACTGTTTATTGAAGAGACTATCCATTCCCTGTTGAGTATCTTGGCTCCTTTGTCGAATGTTAGTTGACTGTTATGTGTGTGGGTTTATTTCTGGGCTCTCAATTCTGTTCCATCGGTGTATGTGTTTGTTTTTATGTCAGTATCGTACTGTTTTGATTACTATAGCTTTGTAGTACAGATTGAAATCGAGCAGTGTGATGCCTCCAGCTTTCGTCTTCTTTCTCAGCATTGCTTTCGCTATTCAGAGACTTTTGTGGTTCCATACAAATTTTAGAATTCTTTGTTCTATTTCTGTGAAAAATACCAGTGGAGTTTTGATGGAGATTGGATTGAATCCATGGATGGCTTTGGATAATATAGACATTTTAACAATATTAATTCTTATGATCTATGAACATGGAATATCTTTCCATCTATTTGTGTCTTCTTCAATTTCTTTCACTTATGTCTTACAGCTTTTATTGTACAGATCTTTTACCTCCTTAGTTAAGCTTATTCCTAAGCGTTTTATTGTTTTTGATGTTATTGCGAGGGGATTATTTTCTTCATTTCATTTTCAGATATTTCATTGTTAGTATAAAGAAATACACCTGATTTCTGTATGTTGATTTTGTGTCCTGCAACTTTACTGAAGTCATTGATTAGTCCTAACAGTTTTTTGGTGGAGCTTTTAGGATTTTCTATATATAAGATCTGGCTTTGGTATCTGAGTAATGCTGGCTCTGTAAAATGAGTTTGGAAGTGTTTCCTCCTCTTCAATTTTTTGGAAGAGTTTGAGAAAACTTGGCATTCATTTTTTTAAAAAAGTTTTGTAGAATTCACCAGTGAAGCCATCTGGCCCTGAGCTTTTCTTTGTGGGAGATTTTTGATTACTGCTTCAATCTCCTTATCTGTTGAGATTTTTCTATTTCTTCATGATTCAGTCTTGGCTGGTTGTATATTTCTAGGAATTTATTCATTTCTTCTAGCTTATCCAATTTGTTAGCATAAACCATTCATAATAGATTTATCCATTGTTGAAACTGGGGTATTGAAGTCCTCTCCTATTATTCTATTGTTGTCTATTCCTCCCTTCAGATCTGTATTTGCTTAACATATTTAGGTGTTCCACATTTGGGTGCAAATGTATTTATGATTATTATATCTTCTTGATGAATTGATCCCTTGTCATTATATAATAACCTTTTTTTATCTCTTGCTAACTGTTTTTGTCTTAAAGTCTATTTTATCTGATATAAATATTGTTACCCCTACTCACTTTCGGTTTCCATTTCCTTGAATATCTTTGTCTATCCCTTCACTTTTAGCCTATGTGTGTCCTCAAAGCTGAAGTGAGACTCTTGTAGGCATCATACAGTGGGTCTTGTTTTTTTGTCCATTCAGTCACTCTATGTCTTCTGTTTGGAGAATTTATTCCATTTACACTTAGAGTAATTGTTGATAGGTAAGGACTTACTACTGCCATATTATTAACTTTTTCCTGGCTGTTTTGTACTTCCCCTTTACCTTTCTCTCTCTCTTGCTTGCTTCCTTTGTTAATTAATGATTTTCTATAATGGTATGCTTTGATTCTCTTTTATTTATCTTTTATAAATCTACTGTAGGTTTTTGCTTTGTGGTTACCATGATGCTTACATAAAACATCGTGTAGTTAAAACAGTCTATTTTACACTAACAGCCTAACTTTAATCACTTACAAAAGCTCTACTCTTTTACCATCCCTCCCTTTTTGGTTTTTTATGTCACAATTTACCTCTTTTTATATTGTGTATTCATTAACAAATTATTGTAGCTATAGTTCTTTTTAATAATCTTGCCTTTTAACCTTTATACTAGAGTTCAGTGGTTAACACACCACCATATTACAGTATTAGAGTATTCTGGATTTGACTATACTTACCTTTATCAGTACGTTTTATATTTTAATATGTTTTCATGTTACTAATTAGTGTCCTGTCATTTCAGTTTGAAGAATTCTTTATAGTATTTATTATAACACAGGTCTAGTGGTGGTAAACTCCTTCAGCTTTTGTTTGTCTGAGAAAGTCTTTATTTCTCCTTCATTTCTGAAAGATAACTTTGCTGGACAGTGTATTCTTGGTTGGTAGTTTTTTTTTCCTTCAGTACTTTGAATATATCATCCCACTCTCTCCTAGCCTATAAGTTTTCTGTTGAGAAATCTGAAAGCTTCATGGGGTTCACTTATAAGTTACAAGTTTTTTTCTCTTGCTGCTTTTAAGATTCTCTCTTTGTCTTTGATTTTTGAATGTTTCATTATATTGTGTCTTAGAGAGGATCTGTTTAAGTTGAGTTTGTTTGGTGACCTATGAGCTTCATGTACTTGGATGTACAAATCTCTCTCCAGGTCTGGGAAATTCTCAGCTATTATTTCTTAAATGAGCCATATCCATCTCATCTCATCTGGAACTCCAGTAATTTGCAAATTATTTCTTTTGATGGTATGTCAAAAGTCATGTAGGCTTTCTTTACTCCTTTTTATTATTTTCTCTTTGTTCTCCTCTGTCTGGATAATTTCAAAATTTGTGTCTTCTAACTCATAGGTTCTTTCTTCTGCTTGATCCAATCTGATATGATGCTCTCTGTTGCATTTTTCCTTTCATTCAATTGTGTTCTTCAGCTCCAGAATTTACATTTGGTTCCTTTTTATGATTTCTGTTTCTTTGTTAAACTTCTCATTTAGTTTGTCTTCCTGATTTTACTGAATTGTCTTTCTGTGTTTTCGTGTAGTTCATTGAGTTTTCTTAAAACAGCTATTTTGAATTCTTTATCTGTTAACTTGTATATATCCATATCTTTGGGACTGGTTAATGAAAGATTATTGCGATCTTTTGATGGAGTCATGCTCCCTTGATTTTTCATGTTCTTTAAGGTGTTGTGTTGCTGCCTTCACATTTGAAGTAGCACTCACCTCCCCAGTCTTTACTAACGGCCTTAGGGAGAAAAAGAAATATCTCCTGTCAGAGCTGCTAGGTCCAAGACTTTTCAGACTTTCTATGTATACACCTGCTCTATACTTCTTGCTCTCTCTGGTCAGAATTCTTAAGTTTTTGTGCCTTCTCTTAATTCTGCAACACATTAGGCCATGTGCTGATAGCCCCCCTTTTGTTTTCCCAAAGGTGTTGCTAAAGCTGAAGTTTGTGGTCTTTCCCTGTTCCACATATTCTAGACAGCTTGCTGTGCATGCTCACTAGCAATCTGCCAAAGCTTACTGTGCAGCTGCTATTGGGAATGCACACAGGGAGACAGACACAGGGTGGGGGATGTGAGGATGAGGTGTGCAGAGTGCTGGGGGTGCCCCTGGGCCAGCTGAGGGGATCCACAGGTGAGGCATCCTCAGTGGTTCACGAATGGGCTTCTTGATGGAGTTTGTGACTCAGTAAGGTCTGTGTCCCATTAATGCCCTCTGAGAGTCCAATCTGCTGCTCTCCCTGCCTCTTCCTGCCCTCTAGTCATGCAGCTCATGATTCAGTACTCTAAATGGGAAGAGAGAGAAATGAATCTCTTTGGCAGCATCCTGCACAGTGGGGGAAAACTGGGGCTCACTCAGACATTCTCACTTTACCCCATGGGAGAAATCATGGGCTGAGAAGATCACTCTTGACCCTAAGTTGTGCTACCTTGGGAGTAGGGTGATGCTGTTAAGGTCAAACTGTTCCTCTTAGATTCTCCAATGAATCCAAACTTTTTTGCTCCAACAATGTGCTGGAACTTCTCCACTGAAAACCTGGACTTCTATAAAGGCTTTCCTGTCTGTAGGTGATTGTCTAAAACAGTGTTCTCCAGGGACTCCTGGACTGCAATGGAGAGGAGCTGTAGCTGGTTCATGGGCCACTTTAGGATCCACAGCCAGGACTGAGGTCTGTATGCATATTACCTGATGCACAGGTGGGTGAGACTCCTATTGGGACTCCTGACGTTGTAGCAGGGAAAGAAATTTTCCTCTACCTTTCTGGGTTCTTCTGGCTGGTCTGAGAATTAAATTGACAGGAGATAGATTAACAGGAGAAAAACAAAGTTTAATAACATATATGCATGGGAGAAACCCAGGAAAACTGAGTAACTCACCAAAATGGGCCAAGCCACCATTCAGCTAAAGATAAAAAAGGATGTTGGGGGTAGTGGTTTGGGACTTCAAAGGAGAGGAAGGCAATTCACATGGAGTTGGAAAAGCAAATGTTAGGTAAACAAATGTTTGCCATGCCATGCAGAGGCAAGGGAACATGAAAAGGACTTTGATCTCTAGGCCCTGCCGAGCCTCCTCCACCACACTTAGCCCATATTCTTTGTGGATATCTCTGGCGATAGCTCTGTTCCTGTTACAAGCCATTTATCTAAATTCTTTTATGCAATTAAAGGAAAAGTAACAAGAAAAACTTTCTGAGTCTTTTGTTTCTTAAAAGCAATCAGCCTAAAATAATCCTCATGCTAAAGAGACACATTTTGGGGTGGCAAATTTTGTTCCCCTTCAACATATGATGCTGGATCCCTCAGCTCCCACAGAGGTACTTTTGTCCATGGCTGGATGCTAAATTGTTGTTGTTGAAGAGGGGGACGCAAATGAAAGATGTCTTATTCAGCCATGATGCTAATATCACTCCTCTGTTTATTTTTGAATGGTAGGATTATGGATAATTTTTATTGTCATTCTTTATGCTTTCCTGAATTTTCTTTTTTTTTATTTTAATAACCTTGAACTATTTTGGCAACCATAAAAAATACTGAAGAACAAAAGAATTATGCTAATACGTGAAACCTTCTGGGATGTGTAGTCAATTGACTTGAATTCAAATTCTTCTCCAATACTACTTCATGGCTGTATGAACTTGAACAATTTATGAATTTAGTGGGCCTCAGTTTTATCATCTGTCAAATGAGAGGTCAACTCTCAAATTTAACATTCATTCACTGATTCTTATTTCCTCCTTAACATGTACTTGTGCTCATATACTAGGAGATTTGGTTAAATGGCAGAGAAGAATGCATGAACATTCAAACATATCAATCAATCCATCTTTACCTTCTTGCTATTGCTATGATGTCACCTCCATCATAACCAGAGGTGAAGGAGTATATTCTGTATAAGCACATTTGGAACCACCTCAATGATCCTTTGAAAGATGTGTTTCCCTTGATAAGTGTGGTAGTGGGCCCCCAAAAATGTCCACGTGAATGTTACTTTATGCAGCAAAAAGGGACTTTGCAGACGTGTTTAAGTTAAGGATCTTGAGATGAGGCAATTATTCTGTACTTTCTGGATGGGCCCTAAATGTAATCACAAGTATCCTTATAAGAAAGAGACAGAGGGAGATTTTCCTGTAGAGGAAAAGGGGATGTGATGGAAGCAGAGAGACATTTGAAGATGCTCTGCTGCTGGCTTTAGAGATAGAGGAAGGGACCATGAGTCACGGAATGTAGCTCTAGAAGCTGGAAAAGGCAAGGAAACAGATTCTCCCATAAGGTCTCCAGAGGGAGCGTGACCCTGACGACATCTTGACTTTAGGCAGGTGAAATTGATTTCAGACTTCTGGCCTTGGGAACTGTAAGAAAATAACTTTGTGTTGTTTTAAGCCAATAAATTTGTGGTAATTTATTATAGCAGCAATAGGAAACCAACATGATAAGATTTTATATTTTTATAATACATCTCACTGTCCCATGGAACCCACGGGGCTCTTTGTATAATTCTTCCTGTTCTGTTTTTTGGTCCTCAAAATGCAAATCTTGAAGGACTAACCTCCATTCCTCTTTCTCTTCTCTAAGGAGGGTCCATTTGAACTTTATTTCTTAAGAGTCCTTGAAACTTAAACATTCAATGAATAAAAAGAATATAAAGGAAGCCAGAAAGCAATAGAGCAGGAATGTAGTCCTCTAAGAATTATATTTAAAATAAAGATATTGGACTAAATAACCCCTATGACTTTTTCAGGTGTATTTTTTTTTCTTTGGTGAGGAAGATTGGCCCTGAGCTAACATCTGTTGCCAGTCTTCCTCTTTTTGCTTGAGGAAGATTGTCCCTGAGCTAACATCCATGCCAATCTCACTCTATTTTGTATGTGAGACGCTGCCACAGCATGGCTTGATGAGTAGTACATAGGTCTGCACCCGGGATCTGAACCCGTGAACTCCAGGCTGCCAAAGCAGAGCACACAAACTTAACCACTACACCACCGGGCTGACCCCCAGGTGTATTTTTTAATGCAAGGTCCAGCTGTAGTTTTATTCTTTGAATATTATGTTGCTGAGGATCACTTTTGATACTCTCCAGTTCCAATCTCTCATGCTGTTTTTGAGAGTATTATAATATAAACAACTATATAGCTAGCTTCTGATCAATGGATATCTTGTTTTAAAAATACTGTCTTTTACTCTTTTTTTAAAAAATGTGTCAGTTTTATGGTTTGATACTAGGGGGATTATAATGCTGAAACTTGGACATCACAGATATTGGGAATATAATTTGGGCAGAGTGGTTAACTTACATGTTGGGCATTTCCATAAGATTTAAGTGAGCCTGACTTTTGCTCATCTTTAGCTGTATCACTCCCTTCCTTAGGGATCAAGTGTCTTGTGAGACTATGTTTCACTCGGTCTCCATTTTCTCATCTCCTCTCACTCTTCAACTCACCAAAACCATGCACTTTTGTTTATTTTTCTTCTTGTGGTGGCGACTGTGGTGGTTGCCACAATGTAGGTATTCAACAATCCTTTTAAAATCAATAAGTTTTTCATCACTCACCTTCCTCCAAGGGAAGAATTCCTTGGAGAATCTTGACTGTGCTCTTTATTTTCTGTGAAAGAATAGCAACCTGATCTCTAATGAGAATAAAAACACAGAAAGCTACACTTTCCAGATATTGCAACGTCACTGTCATCTAAAGTATGGTGAGAGAAGTGGTGTTTGAAGGACACACACGCCAGTCATTTCTCTAAACTCTCTCTGCTCTCTCCGTGGATCAGGACAGCCTCCAGATCCAGAGGACAAAATGCTATCCCCTGGGACCATTGCTTTCACCAAATAGTTTTTGCCTTCACCAAAAAGAGCCTCAGCATTCTTCCCTTGGTTTAACTGAGTGATGCTCCTGGAAAATATCAGACCTGTTACATTCCATATAGAAATATTTTGAGAATATTGTGTCCTTATAAAAAGCTTGCACAAAAAAATTTCTTTTATAAAAAAAATACTAAAGAATGTGTGGCTTCCTTTAGGGACTGCTATGATTTTACCAATAAAACTTGTATAACTCACTCCATTCTTTGCTTAGGCTATTAGGAAGCTTAGAGCCCAATTTGCAGGTTGCTTTTTTTTTTTTTTTTTTTATGAGGAAGATTTGCCCTGAGCTAACGTCCATTGCTAACCTTCCTCTTTTTTTGCTTGAGAAAGATTAGCCCTGAGCTAACATCTATGCCAATCTTCCTCTATTTTATATGTGGGTCACTGCCGTGGCATGGCTGATGAGTGGTGTAGATCCGCAGCCAGGATCCAAACCCACAAACCCAGGCTGCCAAAGCGGAGCATGCCAAACTTAACTGCTACGCCGTGGGGCTGTCCCCAGTGGGTTGGTTTTTTTTTTGGTGAGGAAGGTTAGCCCTGAGCTAACATCTGTTGCCAATCCTCCTCTTTTTGCTGGGAAGATTGGCCCTGAGCTAACATCTGTGCCCATCTTCCTCTATTTTATATGTGGGACACCTGCCACAGCATGGCTTGATAAGCGGTGCGTAGGTCTGCGCCCGGGATCCGAACCTGCGAAACCCCGGGCCACCAAAGCGGAGTGTGCGAACTTAACCACTGTGCCACGGGGCCGGCCCCATGGTTGTTTTTTTTTAACCAGCTAATTACATCTTGTGCCACAGTCTGGGTTTGTGAAGAACTTTCATCCTGCACTGCATCCCTCATCAATTCTTTATGGATCTCTGGGGCACTGGCTGCAGCGTTAGGTGGTAGCATAAACCTTAAAGGGAAGAGTGCGATGACGCATTGCTTCCTCTCCTGTCAGTGAGGATGGGAGGGAGGGGGCATGATGTGTGCATTTGCTGGTCATGGCCTCAGCATTCTATTTATTTACTCTAGTCTTCACTTTCCACTCTATTTAATTTTCCCCAGGTTTGAATTTTTAAATTTCTTTTCTAGCATCATAATTCACATAATTTTGCAACAATTTCTCCAGGCAATTTGTTT